TCACCTGCCGGCCCGGCCCGGCCCCCAGGGCACACAGGCCGTGGCTGCGATCTGGGAGGGAGAGGGTCGTTCCTCCGCGGAGAACACGAGGAGATTTATTACTATATTGTTATTGTTATTATTATTACACAAGGCAAAACTTGTTTCCACCTCTGGAATTACAGAATCCGTTAGGCTGGAAGGGACCACAGTGGGTCGTCTGGTCCAAGCTCCCTGCTCAAGCACCAAGGACAATCTGGCTCCTTCTTCTTGGTACTCACCCCTTTAGGTATTTATAGACATTGATGAGTTCCCCTCTTGGTTGTCTCTCTCTTCTCAACAGGCTCAGCTCTCAGTCTTTCTGTGTGAGTGAAATGCTCCAGTTCCCTAATCACCTTTTTTCCCCTCTGCTGGACTTCCTTCTTCCAGGAGCTCCATGTCTCTGTTGTGCTGAGCAGCCTCAAACTGGACAGCCTACTCTAGATGTGGCCTCACCAGGACTGAGTAGAGGGGCTGGAAGGGTGCTGGAAAATTGCAAAAAAACCCAAAACAGCTGGAAGCAAAGTTTCAGCCCAACCCAATCCACAGTGATCTTTTTCCTTGTTAAAACCTTTTATTTGGAAAGAAGACACTTACCAACATGAAGAAAATGTTTACTGCACAACCACATTTTTATTTTAGCACCATTAATGACAAACCAGACAATTTTATTCACCAGTGTTAAGGCTGTTGGGCACAAACATGTAGCTTCTGCTAGAGAGCTACACGTTTTGTGTAGCTGTGTTTTGTATGAGGCAATTGCAGATGGGATGAGTGGCATTTCCCACAGAGAACCAGACATAAGCTTTTCAGCCATTTCTCATGTATTCCACTCCCTAATTCTGTAAACAGCTTCACTTTGTACAATATCCTAACAGCTGACTATGAGGTTTGAGGGATCAACAAGAGAGACAAGTTCTTGAGGTGGAAGTGCCTCACTGAATATATTGTATTCAGTGCTGTCTAAACTGTGCTGCCTAAAAAGGCACATTAAGTAGTTCCACATTAAATATATAAGGAATGTCTACATAGTAGCCTATTCAGGACATCCTGATTATATCTCCATGCCTAGGCATTGTCCCAGCTACACGTCAAAATGAACAGTTCTAGAGATTAAAACTACCCTTGATTTCTTTAAGTGCAGTGTAAATTAAAGAGCACATTTTCCTGTGCAACTGTGCTGGTATGGTTTCATAAATGTAGGAATTCCTCTTGTCTTAAAATGTATGAAGTAATGGAACAAATTGGAGCACAACCTGGCAATGAGAAGAACTGGGCTTATCTTTCTGAGAACTGCTGCTGAAAGAAAAGTGTGCAATCTGCTCTGCCCCTCACAAAGCTGGGAATTGTTCACAAGGTTTTAAGCCAGGAGTAGATAACATCCCCAAAATTGCAAGATGGTTAGAAAAACCAGAGGACAAGCAATGCAAACATTTCACACACAATTGCCATAATTGTTTTCTTCAACCCAAAAGCATCAGGCTAATCTTGTTCAGGCTGCAAACAGCCCCCTTGACCCACACACCTATGCAGTAAATTAGAGACCTGAGAGATTGCACTAATTGAAATGGATCTCTTCCCAGAAGAATGTGAGCAAGATAGAGATTATGCTTAAAAACACCTGCAAACTGAATCCTAGCACAGCATTCACTGACAGAAATTAATCATGCTTTATTGTCCTGAAGTTTCTACATCTCTGTTTCACCCTTGAGATGTAGCTTGCCTGAGGGAAGAGGCATTTCTGCAATCTTGTACCAGAATTCAGGGAAGAAAGCAGTCACTGGTTCCTCTCCAAATTTTCCATTGCACAAGAGATACAGGCCTTGCTGCTGCAACTCTATTCCCACTACTTGGCTTGATAGGTCTTGGAAAACCCCAGCTGAGCATAGTTTGGGGGTATGGGGAGTAGTGCACAGTTCTAGGCTCTCAGAAGGATTTTCTGGGCCTTCTTATGTGGGCAGGTATTAACCATGGAAGCATACCAACCCAAGCACTTCCAGCCTGAAGTACTACTCAGGTTAGTAAAACCTTACATTTACACAAGGGCTGTGTTGGCCTAAGTACTGGCATCTTCAGATATGTTGTTATTCCATACAAAAAGGATGTTTTGGTGTAAACTGAAGAAAGAGTAAAAAACCAAAGCCTGCATAACTTTAGTACCTTTAACAAATAAAAGGGTGTCTGCAGTAGCAACAAACCCCAGGATGGCAGAAAGGGAAAACTGATGCTGCTTGATTAGAGAACATCTGGAGAAGGATCCATTCCAGAGGGGATGGATGTTGGTTGATTATAAACAGAAACAGAAATCATGTTCAGCATTAGTTGGAGGTTAGAGATTTTTACCTATACAACATGAATACCAGAGCCTCTAAGTTTCAGTTTCTCCTGGTACTGTGAGAGCTTTGTAGTGTCTCTCAGCTTCATGGCATTTTTACTGTGCTGGCTTTGCTTGGTCCCTCACAGCAAGGTGCTAACTACTGCCACGGCTCTTAGCCACTTTAGTGACCCAGTGAGATCAAGTCAGAGCCACTCATATGCTTAACAAAATGCTAAAGAACATTTTTGGACACAAGTAAAAATGAAGACAGCAGAGAAAGATCATAATTTATATTGTCTCATACCTCTTAATGAGATTTACATGTTAAGTTAGTCTTAATATTACTCTCTAGAATTTAGACTCTTCAAAATATCTTCCCCTCTCACTTATTTTCTTGTTTAGTATAGTTATTTAGTTGGTTTGTTTGCTTGTTTTAAGAATGGAATCTTCTCCTTTGCTTAAGGGAGGGCAGTGAGCAGCTGCAAGCACCAAGACCAAGTTAAAGCCCTATTAATGTCTTTGTTTTCTTCTGTTTCGTCTACAAAACCTTTCTTCTTAGAAGTTTTGTGCGTACAAGGAGTAAACTCTCAGGAAGTTTATCATCAGCCTCTAGTGGTACTTGTGTGATAATTAATTAGTACTGACCCAACAGGACTCTTAACTGCAATTAACATTCATATGGATCAGCAGCTTTAGCAAATGACGGGACTTTCCCAGGCTTGTTTCTCTGTAGCTTGTTCTGGGGTAGAAGTCAATAGCTCTGAATGAGCTGTTACCACCAGGAAAGGGATGAGAGGGTCACTGTAGATAGTTCTGGGAAGCCATCCTCCCGGTGCTCAAAGAGAGAGCACCACTCCAACCATAGCACTCGGAATGCTATTAGGAAAGAGCAATCTGACAAATCTCACTATGACACATTCCTGAATGCCAGAAATCCCACATCAAAATGGGTAAGAAGAAGAAGAGAAAGCACGAAGTAAAGCAGAAAAGAAAGCATTTTCAGAGCTTGTATACAACAGTTTCAATGTAGCAAAACCAGAACACAGTATTTCAACATTTAAAAGGAATGATGAGAGAGGAAAAGTCTTTATAAACTACAGATCTTGAAAATCATGAAATATGTGGAGAAGGTTAAATGGGTATCAAGCATTCAGTACTTTGTATCAGCTAAGAACTACGGAAAACTTCTACAAGATGTCAGACCACAGGACTTTTTTACATCAGAATATTGTGTAATGTTTGCCTCGAGATGCTGTGGACACAAAATTACAAAGGAGCAAAGAGGCACTAGGTGGATTCATAGAGGATAAGTTGACCATTAAACAGCGGATCCTGGAAGTTTCAGAAACATCTGATTTCCCACGTTTAGAAAAAACTGCTGGGAAACAGTCATTCCATAGCGTTTGTTTCTTAAACTCCCCCATAACATCTGCTTCTGGGCACTGCTGCACAGTTTTTGGCTGGATGAGTGACTTGAACTGAGTCAGGTCTTCATATGTTCAAAGCCAGTGTGCACAGTGTAACACTGCTAAATACATTAGTAATAGCAGAGATTAAAAAGTTCAGACAGATTTGTAATGTTCCGTCAATTTCAAACTCCGCAACATTTTTGTGTGGTTGTTTTGAGTTTATCTGCCAAAACCCCACTCATGGAGTAAGGAGGACAAGGAGAAAAGTCTGAAAAATAGCCCCCCAGAATTCATCTTTCAAGACACAGGATTTGCCTCTAACAAAATTGGATACTCTGCTATAGGAGAGTAGAAACCTGAACCTCTTAAGTCAGCTGAAACCCCTTGCACAGAATGTTTCAGGAAACAGAATTTAGATTCTACCAAAATATCTTAGCCTCATACCTCTTCTTTTGTTTGGTCTGGCCATTTAGTTGTTTTCTTGCTTTTGCTCCTATGCCTCATGTTTGTTTGGTTTTTAATAAGGGAGCAGTGAGTGATAAAGAACCCTTACATTTCTAATAAACAAAATATGAGGAGTTTCCTGTCTTGTTTTTAAAATTATTTTTTCCTTTAAATACAGATGACTCTTATTTGGGTTCTTAATCTCCACATCTCTCTTGAACTTTTCCCCAGAAGGTCCTGCTGTCAGGCTGACTTGAGATTGTCACCTACAGGCAGGTTCAGATGCGTGAAGGGTTCTGCTCCCCCAATTTTAGGTAAAAGTTGTAGACCATTCCCACATGAGATCTGTTTTAATAGAAAATACAGGTTATTTCTAAAGATTAGCCACAAAAATAAAGAATCAAGCAGACCTCACCAGTCAACACAACATATTTAATATTCATGCCCATGTAATGTGCAAAAATGCATTAAAGCCCAAGTATATAATTTTGTTTTTATTTTATGGTGTGTATCATACAGCCTCAGAGGATTCTATAGCATATTCTAAAAAAAAATACTTCAGGCTACGTCTACACAAGTTAATTAAGTGGGGCCAACAAACACTAAACAGGTACTGGCACATGATGGTACTAGATTTGTTAGCTCACAAATGGTGTTGTTCAGAACTATCACAGGCTGGGGAACATTCTCAGCAATGGCAATTTTGCATGCAGACATGCTATTTTGATAGGAAGAAAAAGCATCTGTGTGGCCATCAGCTATGCTCTAACAGCTGGCCTCAGGGCTAAGAAACATTGCCTGTTTGCTCTTTATCGGATTTCATTACTTGTTTCAATTTCAGCTATTGCTCTGAAGTAGAAGGAGACTCTGAAAGGAAGAATGTCTTAAGGGCATTCACAAAATGTTCATGTCTGAGTGAAACTTTTATTAAAAAGGTCTTACAATTATTGCAAATTGGAGTGATTTTGAGGGTGCAAAATTCGTGTCCTCTGGCATCAGATTTTCCTTTTGTTCCCTTTTTGAACATGCTTTCCTGTCAAAACAGTTGGCAAAACAAAGGTAACTCTGGCAACAGCCATACATCTCAAGAGATGAACTTCAATAGGCTAACCAGTTGCATAAGAAGAATTTGCCAATGATATATTAAGGGCACCAAGTTTTGACCCATTACACATCCAAAGTGGTAACTCAACCTCCTGTGCCTTGTTCTGTTCGTATTTGGATATCCATACATCCATTTCAACAAAGCAAAGAGGATAAGTTTGGAGGAATAAGTGTGCCCTTGCATATTTGTCCAGGTGTACTTTACTGGCTGATCAAAGGTGTGCATTCAGACTGCAGCAGATAAAGAGTCTTCTCTGCTTGGCAGCAGCAGTCCCACCCCTGACCTAACACCCTGTGCTTTAAACAGACAACAAAGTGCAGGGAAACCATTGCCAGACAGTAGCTCCCAGTCCTGTAACACTTGAGGATGGCCTGGATTACCAGTAGAAGTACCACTAGAAGTAGAGCATGGGAGTACACACAAGCAGAGAGACACAAAAAGAGGTAGATCTAGGTTTTTTTTCCTGGCCCAATGCTTGTGCTGCTGCTAGGAGGATGAACCATCTGACTGCTGCCCTTCAGTGCCACACATCTTCATTTATGTTAGAAAGTTTTCAGATCAGCAGTGACCCTTTACCATGCACATTTCCTAACACAGTGGATTGACCCATTACAGTATTCCTAAATTGTGTTCATCCACAGCTCACTCTGATGCTAAGGCCAAGCCAAATATGCAGAATGACTACAGAAATTCGTCTGTAGCAGACCTTTTGCAACACTATAAGTCACAGTGCTATGCTATAACAGTTATCAACTGTTGTAGCACTTATCAACACTATCAACACAGTTACCAAAAGTTATCAATGCTGGATTTGTTTCATCTCCACTCATGACTTCCTTTTCTAGATCTGAAGAAATTTATTATCAAGTTTATAGCATTTAGTTGTTTTTTCAAGAAAAGTGTAACTATATTGGATAAAATTAAACCTTGGACATATCTCCCTTACTGATACAATGTAGTTACAACAGCCTAACCATGTAAGTGATGGCAACTAAAAAAATAAATTATGAGGGTGCTTTCAAAGTGAAATAACTATAGACAAATTGTCACCAGAACCCTAAAACTGGAAGAATCAAGTAAAAACGAAACCTGCTTCAGTACAGACTGCAGAGCATGTTTATTTCTTGTACATCTGAATTATTTCTGTTAGAGCATGATCAGGGCCAGTTCCTGCTCAAAACACAATTAAGAGTGGAGGAGAATAGATCAACAGATGATTGCAACATTAATTATTTAGAATTCTTTGTCAAAGCATTATATGAGAATTTTTGGTCCTAACACAATCATTATCTAATGGACATTTTGCTTCTCCATCTTCTATAAAATAGTATTTGATTCCTTGAAATTGTCAACAGAGTTGAATATAAAAAGTCACAGCTGGAGCTGCTCCAACTTACAGTGTTCAGTTACTGAAACTTTACACTTCCTCTTAGTTTGCATTCTACACCCTGAGCAGGGAGGGATTTCACTTTGCTGTCTTGTCTCTTTAAATGGATTCACCCTCATGCCAATAGCAGATTCAGTGCCTTAAAACACAAGTCAGTGTCTCTTCTAATCTACTGCCAGAGCACAGAATGTCCAGATTATAATTAAGCCCTGACCACTTGGTATTTACTTTTATTACACTAATACTGTGAGGCCCCAGTAAGATTCGAGCCAATTGTGTTATGTGCTGTGCACACTCACAGCCACTGTCTGAAAGACCTCACAGGACATGGTGAGAGAAATAATTTCCCATAGCAGCAAAAAGAGACTTAATTTTGTTGCTGTTCTCCTTGAGGCATTAGCCCTAAGAGAGAAGAGGAATAAACCTGTCTCAAATGAGTCATCTGTGCAGATGAAAACATAAAAATATCTTCTTATCTCCTATTTTATCTTTTCCTTCCACATTGCTGCTTCTTTCCCAACTAGAATAATAACAACATAAGAATGAAGTCAGCCCTGGGCAGGGATGCTTTAGTGTCTGGAGCACCAGAAGCAGAGGAAGCAGGCAGGAGTCTCACTCGATGTGCTCTGGCTCCTGAAGTCAGAGCAAGCACTTGGCAAAGGTGAGGAGAAGGATTTTGTCAGAATAACTTTTATGGGACCCAACTCTTCCAGGAATTGTTTAAAATCTGCATAATGCTTCTGAGTGTTAATGCCTGTGTTGGGACATTTGCATTAGCAGATAGATGTGCAAGAACACGTGTTTCCAGACATCTGCCTAGTGATCGCATATCTGAGCAGTTTGCTGAAACTTGGTCTAAAGTCCATGAGGTCCTTGGGCTCCTGAAATGATTTCCAAGGTTTGTAATAAATTGTGCTGTTGAAGTGTACCATGGTTAAGCAATTCTTGCATGATAGAAACAATATGTGTGCACTGCACTAAAACAAATCTATGTTATTTTAACTTTCCAGTCTTCAAAAGCTTTCTGAAGGGAACACAGACATACAGAAGAATTTCATATGTATAGATGCAGTGAAAAAAAGAAGAAAATTTTTTCAAGGATGCCCCAAAATTATCACCCTCCCAGTACAAGACTAGTGAATGATACAATGCTGATTATGGTGCATTGAATTGGTAAGAAGTGAGGAATCACAGTGCAGTAAGACAAAGTCTCTAGATTTCTACAGAGCCCTGGTTGAACTGCTTACATTCCTCCAGCTAGGTCCATGATTTTTTAGCCATGTCAGAGGAGGGAGGACTCAGAATGTGCAATGCCACAGGGTTAAGTGGTGGTGATGTCTTAGAAGGAGAGGTTCATCTTCAGGCACAAAAGGCATTGCAGTATTGTTGAGTTTCCCCTCCTCCACAGGATTGCAGGATTGTGCCAGAGTGTGAGTCAACAAAGAGGTGGTGTGGGCTTTCAGGATCTTGGGGTTGAATGGGAATGCAAACCATGACCTAACATACACCATGTGTCTTTCCCTTCTTCCAGGAGGGAAAACCGTGTTCCTACACTGCAGGTAGGTGCTGTGAAGAAAAATGTCACAGAAATGTCACAGATACTACTGTTATGGGTATAGATTCAGGGCACAGATTCAGCTTGTTCAGTTCTCTAACAACATTATTATTGTTGTTGTTATTATTAAAATTATTAAATTCACAAATTATAGTCTATTATCAGGCTACACACACGCTGTACATACTTGTATGACTAAAGCAATCAAGACACATAAAAAGACCTTGAATTTGATAAAAATAGGCAAATGGGGAGTATCCCATCCCAGACTCAGCAGCTGGCAGAGGGTATGTGCTGCAGTCATTTACTGTGATCTTGGACTTTGTTTTGCTTAAGAGTCCATGAACTTGCGATAACTTTTACTGGAGCATCCACGGAAGTACTCAGGAATGAGTATGTTTTTTACTGCCCAGTTACCTGTACTCTTAAAAAAAATTTGTAACCATGAATAGATATAAATTCTGTGTGGTGTTTTACACTGTGTTTCTCAGCTTAATAAAATATAAGAGGAAAACTATAGAAAGAAGGGGGAGGGTGCCTAGTTCGAGCATATAAAGGCAGGTCTATAAAGCATGTTACACGGTTGAAAAGTGACATGCAGTTTTAAGATTATATCTGCCAAGTATGTTGATGGTATGGCTTGTGTTCTATCAAGTCATTTCTACTGTCTTTGTTTGAGAAGTATGAACTAGTTTTATACAATAAAAAAAAACCAAACCAGTCCTGTTTAGGAATCAGACATCACTTCTGTATAGTCTTTGTCTTTGACTTTGTCACATGTAAAGACAGCTGACAGAATTGGTTCTGTAAGGCTGTAGTTAGGAAGAACTCTGTAGATTGTAACACTGTTAGTCTGCTCCACATATGTATTATGGAAAAAAAAGGGAACTCAGTTTTCCAAATCTCCTATTTGAGTCTTTTACCACTGGATGTGGGCAGGACCTGTCTGCTTCCTGGCTGTAATTCAAGGAACATTTAAGCAAGGGACAGACAGCTCTGGCTATTCCTGCTCAACCACATCAGTAAGAGACAAAGACTGGAGAAACCCAGTTTTTTTGCATCTCACTTGTTCTCACCTGTGAGGTAGGCTCTGAGCACTCTCATGACCCCAGGGATGACTGCAGACACTGGAGGGCTGGGTCCCAGACATCGTGAATACATCGAAGTGCTGATATCTAAAAGGCCTGTTAGGCATAGAAGACTGTGAATAAGACTCAGCACTGAAACCATCACAGACCTGTCAGTCTTCATCTGAGAGCCTTCCTAAGTGTTACTCATCTTTGTTGAGACTTGTTTCTCAAATGCTCAATCCAATACAACACATGTAATTGTTTGCAAGATGGGAACCTTCCTATTTGTCTGCAGTCTGCTTTGAGGACAACCTCACTGATTTTTCTTGCACTTTTATAATTTGGAATATGCTGTATTTAAATGGGGGCTAGGGAGAAGGTAAGGAGAGCAGGTGGAGATAGACTGTGTACAAATGTGCATATATGTGTTTATCAGATTAAATAAATATATTTTAATAGGTTAATAGGAGAAGAATAATTCAGTTTCATGCTAAATTTTAATATAAGAAAAACCCCTGAGGTGTTGCCATGAATATGGCATTGGTTAGATAGAACTTTCTGCTGTCAGTGCAGTTCAGAGTCCTGACTGAATCCTAACGCTCCAGAGACAGATGTGCAGCCCTTGAGACAGAAACAACTGTCAGTGGGAGAAAGGAAGCAAAGGAAATGCAGAGGCATCTCCTGGCATGCTTAGTGCATGCAGAGCTCATATGTGATTTTATCAGCATTGGTGTCTAGTCTTGCAAGAAACATTTTGAAATAGAACAGTGGAGGAGTACAGTACACACAGTGGTGTGGAGTGAGAAGTGGGGGAGCTTCATCTGAAAGCATCAGAAAAGTTAGTTCAGGAGCAGAGGTGAAATGCTCAGTGGGTACCTCTAATTTAGAAGAAAATTAGTGCAAATTAGAAAAGTGTTTAAAATAATATTTCATGAGGGAAGAAAATACTGGATTGCATTCTCTTTTTTTGGAAACAGGAAGAAAGGTGACAGAAATGGATTAGAGTATTACAATATGAAGATTCTGGATAAACTAACTCTGCTTTGGCCCTTCAGGCTTTCTCAAATAACATGACAGAATATCTAGCATAAAAACATGCTGAGAAAGGTTCAGATTCCAGAAACACAGTGACTCATGCAGTTCCAAAACAATGTTACAACAAGTTGCTGTCCAAATTTCCTGCTGTATTACATGTAATGCACGTTCAGTGGTGCTGCTGGCACACTTCCCTCTGAGTCAGTATAGAACCACTGCCCCAATTCAGTTAGGTGACCACTGTGCAGCCGGTGCTTCTGTCATTGCCAACAGATGTGAAACAAATGCCCCAGTTCCTTGTAGTCCTCAGGATCCTTATGCAGACAGCAGAGCCTAATTAATCTCTGACATAGTGACCATGTATGAAGATAGACAACTGCCTTCTGTGTTTCGGTGCCCTTCCATCTAATTACAGCAATTTTCAGTTGGATTAGCATTCATCTCTGGAAAGATGGACTCTAAATTAGAGAAAGAGAATGGGAAGTTGGAAGGGAGTATTTCTTTATACATTTTCTATTTGTTTCAGTACCTAATACAATTGTATTACGTCTTAATGCTACATGTCCTTTCCCATGGACCCTTCTTGCACTATGTTTATCAAGCTCTTACAAACACAGGAAGCCATGTGGAGAGGTGAGAAGGAAAGTTTAAGTAGAAAGAATGACAAGTACTGGCCTTGACCATATCGACACGAGGAGATTCAGTGATGCCAGGGAAAAATATAACTTGTCTACTCCACAAACCCTGGAGTAATCCTCCTCCATGGTGATTTCTCTCTGTTCTCTTTTTTCTAGTCTGGGTCTTACTGGGAGACAGGCCTTTCAGCCTTTGGGAAATCTTGACCTATGTAGGTGTTTACTGCAGCTTTGTAAATGAACTAGAGGAAAGGGTAATAATAATAAACAATTAACAGCATTGAGCCTGGACTTAAATAATCATGGTCCTATCTGTTGAAAATGGAAAAAAGTAAGAACCCTGAATGCTGTAACAGGGGTCTCCTCTAATCTTTAGATGCCATAAAAAATATAAAGGAAGAATAGCAAAAACTGTTTTGTTTTTCTTTCCTTTGTGTTGTGGCGCTGGTGGACCCCTTGAATAACATCACAAAGTTTTTTGTGCCTTCCTAGTAAAATTTTTGCCATCTGTAAATGCCACTGTTTAATATCATGTGGAAATCCAGAAATAAAAAATTCTATCCTAAAGGCAATTTATTTGAATTGATGGTCTGGCTTGAAGGAGTCAAGTATCAATTTCTCCCAGAGCACATTACCTGTCTCCTGAAAAAGAGTGTGTTTTTCAAAGGTTAGATGTTGCCTATTGTATGCCCGAAAACACCTTTGTAGTTTTGCATTGAGACAAGATGGTATTTGAATCCGGTGGAATGCTTTACATTTTCATATTGTCTGAAGGCTGGAAACTCACCAGAGGAGTAACAGAGATGACAGTAAAAGTACAGTTCAGTCAGTGGAAAAAGAGATAAAAGCAATTGTTGAGACCCACATTTTCTCTAAAATGTTTCCCTTCCACCCCCACCCCATCCCCATCCCTCTGGGTTTTTTAGGTTTGGTTTGGTTTGGTTTTTTTGCTGTTGTTTGTGGGTATTTTTGGCTTGGTATTTTTTCATGTGGAAGTCTAGACGTCTTTTGTGGAGATGTACTGATCTGCAGGGTATGTGGTACAGGGTCCCAGGGACAGCTCCAATAAGTACAGTTTGATCCCTGAATGGACTTCAGATGTAAATATGGAAAATGTAACAGCTTTTCTTGGCTGGAACAAGAAGAGTGACATGCCATGTCCTTGCAGCTCTGACTAAGGTTAATTCACTACAACATTTCCTACAGTATTTCCTTTCCTACAGCATTCTTACTGGTAAGGTCAGAATTCACTTTTCAGTAATGATAATTTCCAGAGATTTTACTCTTGGAGATACTCCCTCCAAGAACCTACCCTGAAGGGCAGTGACACAGTACTGAAGAGGAACCTAAATATTGTCTTTTTTAATCTAGAACGAAGAAGCCCAAGAGAACCAGATAATAATCTGGTTTAGTCCTGTCTTGAATGATCCAGGTAACTTCTTACAACCATTCATTTGTTTTTGCAATGACCTTTCTATAACAACACCCTTAAAAAATCTAGTATTAAATCAGACAGGCTAAATTGTGAATAGAGGTACTGAAAGATGAAGGAACAACATGGGGGGCTTTTATACTAGTGCTTAGTTTCTGTTTCTGCAGGAACAGGATCCATAATGTTTATTGATGTCTGGAGATCTCTGGGTGTGTGCAGCCATACTCCGATGCACAATAACTGGAAAAATTGTTGCAGCCTTGGAAAAGATGAGTTTTCTTTACAATTACAGTGAGTTTAGGCAACTGCAAGACACAAACCTAAGATCACAGCTGACAACACACCAAATAATTAGGGATGCTCTACCTTGTGGGATATATAATGAGTTATATTAAATAAAGAGTTATTCACTCACATTACATAAGAATATTTGTGTACTCCATTTAGTGACACTAAAAAAAACCCAAACAACAAAACAGAGAATAATACAAATGCAAATACCTTGGAAAGGAAAATAAATAAAAGCTGTAGAATAAATAGTGCCATAAAAAGTGGTAAAACTGTTGCCAGAGACCTTCTAGCCTTTTTCACAGGTTTACAATTGTGTTTGATCCTCCTTGTTTGGTTTCTCATGGGACCCTTGTCCAGCTTTGTCATTCTTTATTATGAGACTGACTTCAGTCAGCTGGTTTGTAGCCAGTTGCACTATTAATAAACTGGCAAGGAGATCAGAAATTACTGGAACTATTTGGTCATCTTGAAACTAAAAATGAAAGACTACTCCAAAATTCTTGAAGGCAAAAAAACCCACTCTTAAAATGCTTTTTCTATAATAACTGCTTCACAGCATAAAAAGTCTACAAAGTTCAGATTGTTTCAGTTTATTTAGTGCTATGTTGGCCTTAAAAGCTGTAAGGAGTTCCAGCCAACAGAAACTATCTCTTCCAAGAGGGATTAATTTAATATTAGCAAATAAAAATGCATATTGTTGAGAATCCAAACCTTTAAAGGTGTAGAAATAATTTATTAAGGAGAATGACTTTTTGTACCATATTGCCTACAGCATTCTACGTTACACACTGCATTTGTCCTGTAAGGTTTATAGTCTAATGTAGAGCCATTAAGAGACTGGGTAGGCTTTTGCTACATCAGCTACACAAGAACAGTGTGTGATGTATTTGCGTGTTTGACTGCCCCACTTGCGGGTTTTTTAAGAAATCCATCTTTCCTTTGCTGAGGTCATTCACTTACGGCTTTACAGTTCTAACCTCACTCCACAGGATTAGTAAAATACTCCCCAGGAGTATGTAGTGACTGGCTGACTGCTTTTGAGCATCTGGCTGATGAGACCTTGGTGAAATTTGGGAGTATTTTACTAACATTCTTGTGAAGATGGAAACACTGATACAATGTTTTTCTCTGTCTTTGCACCTCTAGGTTTTTGGGTGGAACTGCACATGTCCTGAGGTAGTTTTGCTACCATGCTATCTTTCTATTAATTTTCTATTATCTCTTGTACAGCTTTGCTGTGCTCAGTAAGGCATTTTGAAAATCCGCAAAATAAGAACAGCAAAGCAGTCCGTGCAGTTTCACCAGTTTTAGTGGAGATTATCTATTTGGCAGCTGGAGGTCACCCCCCTCAGGTGTGTCTGGAACCTGAATATAGGCTGTAT